ATTGATTGATTGATTGATTGATTGATTGATTGATTGATTGATTGATTGATTGATTAATTGATTGATTGATTGATTGATTGATTGATTGATTGATCGCGATTAATTGATTGATTGATTAATCAATCAAGCAATTAATCGCGATCAATCAATCAATCAATCAATCGCGATCAATCAACCAATCAACCAATCAACCAATCAATCAATCAATCAATCAATCAATTGTGATCAATCAATCAATCAATCAATCAATCGATCAATCAATCAACCAATCAATCAATCAATCAATCAATTAATCAATTAATCAATTAATCAATTAATCAATCAGAAAAAAATGAAGTCCTACAAAAAAAAATAAAAAAAGACAAAAAAAGCGTGACGGGAGGATCGGTAGATGTCGGCGGAGGTGGGTGGAGGTCGGTCGAGGTCCGCGGAGGTGGGTGGAGGTTGGCGGAGGTGGGCGGAGGTCGGCGGAGGTCGGCAGTGGTTGGCGGAGGTGAGTGGAGGTCGATGGAGGTAGGTAGAGGTCCGCGGAGGTCGGCAGAGGTCGGCGGAGGTCGCCGGAGGTCGCCGGAGGTGGGCGGAGGTCGGCGAAGGTGGAGCGGAGGTGGGCGGAGGTCGGCGAAGGTGGAGCGGAGGTCCGCGAAGGTCGGCAGAGGTAGGCGGAGGTTCACGGAGGTTGGCAGAGGTCGGCGGAGGTCGTAGGAGGTGGGCGAAGGTCGGCGAAGGTGAAGCGGAGGTGGGCGGAGGTGGGCGGAGGTAGGCGGAGGTCGGCGAAGGTGGAGTGGAGGTCCGCGAAGGTCGCTGGAAGTGGTCGGAGGCGGGCGAAGGTCGGCGGAGGTGGGCGGAGGTCGGCAGAGGTGGGCTGAGGTCGGCGGAGGTTGGCAGAGGTTGGCGGACGTGGGTGGAGGTCGGCGGCAGTAGGCGGAGGTCCGCGGAGGTCGGCAAAGGTGGGCGGAGGTCGTCAGAGGTGGGCGGAGGTAGGCGAAGGTGGAGCGGAGGTGGGCAGAGGTCGGCGAAGGTGGAGCGGAGGTCCGCGAAGGTCGGTGGAAGTGGGCGGAGGCGGGCTAAGGTCGGCGGAGGTGGGCGGAGGCGGCAGAGGGGATCGGGATCGGGATCGGGAAGCGAAAGCAAAGGTGGAGAGGAGGTGGGCAGAGGTGGGCGGAGGCGGGCGGAGGTGGAGAGGAGGTCGGCGGAGGTGGGCGGAGGTCGGCGGAGGTCGGCGGAGGCCGGCGAAGGTGGAGCGGAGGTGGGCGGAGAGTGAGAGAGGACGTCGGCGGAGGTGGGCGAAGGTGGAGCGGAGGTGGGCGGAGAGTGAGAGGTGGGCTATGGCGGTCAGCTATGGCGAAAGCGCAAGAAGAGATGGCTGGAGGTGGAGGAGATGGTTGCCGAAGGGCAGCGGACCGCGGAGGTAGGCGGAGGTCCGCGGAGGCCAGCGAAACGGGGAGGAGACGGGTGAGGTAGCTGGAGGTGGGTTGAATGGAGGTGGGCGGAGCGGGACGCAGACAAGCGGAAAAAGAAGAAGAACAAGAACAAGAACAAGAAGAAGAAGAAGAAAAAGAAGAAGAAGAAGAAGAAGAAGATGAAGAAGATGCATCGCGAG